CAGGGGGCTGGGATGGGTTTTGGGGGACTGGGAATGAGTTTCAGAGGATCAGGAATGGGTTTTGGGGAGCTGGGGCTGAGTTTTGGGGAGCTGGGATGGGTTTTGGGGGGACCAGGGATGTGTTTTGGGGTTTGGGGATGGATCTGAGGGGACCAGGGCTGGGTTTTGGGGTTTGGGGATGGATCTGAGGGGACCAGGGCTGGGTTTTGGAGTTTGGGGATGGATCTGGGGGGACCAGGGCTGGGTTTTGGGGGGTTCCTCCACCTGGGCTGCAGTCCCTTGCGCAGGGGAGCAGTTGCTTCTGGGGATGACGTCAGCAACAGAAGGTGTCGTCGCGGCAATGCCGGAACCAGCAGCACTGTTGGGGTCCAGCTTGGGGTGTTTGGGTGTCCCGAGCCCCTGTTGGGTGCTGAGTGGGGGGTCCCAAGGCCCTGGCGAGGAACCAACCCACCATGGGGACGCTGGTGGTGGGTGCTGAGCGCTATGACATGATGGCCACGATGGGGAAGGGGACCTTCGGGGAGGTGACCCAGGGCTGGCGGAGGAGCACAGGGGAGATGGTAGCTATCAAGATCCTGAAGAATGAAGGCCACCATGGCCGGGTGGCGAAGAATGAGCTGAGGCTGCTGCAGGCCTTGCGGGAGGTGGATACAGAGGAGTCACACGTTGTCCGTTTCCTCGAGTCCTTCGGTGATGGTGCCTGTACCTACCTGGTCTTCGAGCTGCTGGAGCAAAACCTCTTTGACTTCCAAAAGCAGAACAACTTCTTGCCGTTGCCCGTCCGGCACATCCGTACCATCACGGTGCAGGTGCTGGCGGCATTGGTCAAGCTGAAGGAGCTCTCCATCATCCACGCCGACCTCAAGCCAGAGAACATCATGCTGGTGGACCACGCGCGCTATCCGTTCCGCGTCAAGCTCATCGACTTCGGCTCGGCCAGCATCTTCACTGAGGTCCGCCACGTCAAGGAACCATACATCCAATCCCGCTTCTACCGGGCACCGGAGATCTTGTTGGGGTTGCCCTTCTGCGAGAAGGTGGACGTCTGGTCTTTGGGTTGCGTGGTGGCCGAGCTTCACTTGGGCTGGCCGCTCTACCCTGGTGCCAACGAGTACGACCAGGTCCGCTACATCTGCTCCACCTTGGGGCTACCACGGGGCGAGCTGCTCTGCGCTGCCCGGAAGACATGGTCCTTCTTCCGACGGGTGCCACATCCCACTGGTTCCTGGCAGCTCAAACCACCAGGCGAGGAGATGGCGAAGCCAACAGAGAGGAGGAAGTATGTCTTCTCCTCGCTGGATCAGTTGGCAGCGGTGAACGTCTGCCCGGTGACTTACCCCAGCTGGGAGGCTCTGGCCGAGCGCTGTGACCTGCGCGGGATGGTGGAGCTGGTCAAGAGGATGCTCACCTGGGACTCGCACGAGAGGATCGTGCCCAGCGCCGCCCTCAAGCATCCCTTCATCTCCTTGCAGCAGCTGAAGTCCAGCTTTGAGGCCACCCGGTACTACCAGCTCTGCCAGGAGGACTTGAGGGCATCCTGTAAGGATGCCGGCACGGCTGAGGTCTTCCCTGGCATGGAGAAAGGTGCCTTCATCCCCACCGGCCGGTGCAGCGTCCAGAAGGCCACTGCCCAGATGGATGGGCTTAGCCTGGTTGAGCCGGTTGGGGACATCGGTGACAAGAGCCAGCAGGACATCTGCCAAGCCCCCATCCCCACCCACTACGGCACACAGCACC